ATGGAAATGAAAGGTTGCAACATCCTGATTAGTTTCATTCCGTCGCGAAAAAAAGAGAGATTCTAGGAGGAAAAGAATTTTTCAGTGAATCCGCTGCAGATAAAAATTTATTTGGAAACGATTATATTTATAAAAATAAATGTTCGTTCTTCATAATCCGAGAGATGAAGGATAATAATGATAAATTGAGCCTTTTTAAGCGTCACGCGATTTTCTATACGATTTTTATGAAAATTGGAGAGAGCAAGAGATGATTTCAAGGCGGAAAATCAACAATTTTTCTGAAAACGTAACTCTTTGGAATTATTCAAACAGGCTACAATATGAGGGAAAAAAATCTGTGCTAATTTCAACGTAGATTTACGCTTTTTGAAAAAATTCAAAAGTATTGAAGAGGCATTTTTTTAAACACTGAAAAACTTATTTCCTTTTCGAGTCAGATTTATAGATGAGTTAAAATCCGGTAAATTCACTTTCATGAAATGAAAACTTCTTTTGAAGCATTCTAACAATTTTCCCGTGGAGCACTTCTGTAACTTGTGAATCAGCTGACTACTTTTTTCTCAAAAAATTTTAAAAGCCAATTTTGAAACAGAAAAGCCTTTTTTTCGAGGAAGTACTTTTTGTTCAATTGAAAAAATTTCCGTTGTAGCAGCTGAAATTTCTCAGGTGACCTTTTTCAAAAAAAATTATATCTTGTTCGCTTTCAATTTATTCATGAGCCAATTCGGCGGAACTTTGAATGTTTCTTTTTTTAAAAATTTTTCAATTTTTTTAATCAGTTCAAAAACCGTTCAAGTCTCAAAAAATGCATGAAATTCTCGATTTTGGTTAGATTGAAAAATTTCAAAAAAACCAAAAAAATCAGCGGCCCAAAAAAAGTAGATTTTGGGATGGTTCTTCAAAAAGAAATCCAAGGTCGAAAATGGAAACATTTCATTGAAAAATTAATCGATTTTTTTGAATAAAGCTCAAAGAAATTTTAAAAATTTGGAAAATTGAAAAAAATTAGGCATTATAAATAACCGGCTGACTTTTTCAGCATGCCTTGGTTCTCCTTTCTAAAATTCACCTCAATCCAAAAGCATCACCCACTTTTTGAAAAAAAAATTCATCTCGGTCATTTTTGAGCCTTCCTCTGCCACTAAATCCACCTGTTTTCAGGCTGGAGAACGAAAGAAAAAGTCCATTGTTGTCGAGTTGGGAGAAAATCGCGAAAAACATCCGTGGAAAAGGACAAACGGCGAGCCAATCACGAGAAAATAGTGCAAGTGCCCAAAATGGATGGAAAAACATCATCAAGAATGGGAAAAAAAAGGGAATTAACTAAATTGGGCATTTATCAGAGAAAAAAAAAGAAATTTCCTTATAAGTTAACACAAAAATTGGTAAAAATATCTAAAAGCAGTTTAAAAAAAATTGAATTTTTGATTAAAAAATTTTCTTCAAATTTCAGATTCCTGGGGAGAGAAACCATTCTATCGCAGTCGTCCAGTCTATCGGAAAAAAAAAACTTGAGGCACAAAAATCGAGAAAAAGCTCCGATTTACCCAAAAACCAGCATAAAAATGAACCGAAAAGACTGGAAAGAGTACACGAAATCCAATTTTATCCCTCCATTCGCTACAAAAAAAAACCGCCAAGCATCGATTTTGTTAATGAGCAAAGAAAAGAGTGGAAGGGGGGTAATTGCCACTTTTTTTCGAGATAAATGCGGCTCCTTCTCGACTAAATGAAGGCGTGTTCTTGTTCTTCTAGTCTATCGTTGGCCACATTTTTGAGGCCTTTTTTCGTCTTTCTCTTCATTTTTGGCAGTATACTGGAGTTCTGAGAAAAAAATCAGGTAAAAGTTGAAAAAGCTGAATTTTTTGAGAGCGATTAAGCATTAGAAAAATAAAAGTTGGAAACGAAAAAAGGAGACAATTTGCTACTCTCTAATTGTCCATAGAGCGCGATTCCTCTACTTTTTAGTGGCGATTTCTTTCAGTCACTCTTTGAATTAGATTCTCACGCTTGAACGAAATCAAAAATTATCGCCGATTAAACTTTCAAATATTAATAATAACCATGAAACGTATCATCGCCTTCCGCTTTCTCCGACCAAAAGTTTCATCACCAATTCTTCTCAGTATTTGTTCACAACTTAGGTTTCAAAAACTTCGGAAAATCTCTTTTCATTTGAAAACTCCGCATTCCTTTAGGCAAAAATGAAGCTAAAGACCCACCAAAATGTCTTTAAATCACTACAAAAAACGGAGAAAAAGACTTCTAAAAGAAAAATGTAGCGTGAAATTGGAAGTCAGTTTTCCCATGCAGCCGCGGCAGCTCTCCCAAAAAGAAGGGCAGGAAAACATCCGAGGCGGCGGGAAGGAAAAAAGAAAGAGTAAAGGTCACGTGGATCAAACGCGCTCCAACGCAAAATCTCGTGAGAATCCGACAGCTTTCTCTCTTCTTTTTTTGTTTGGAATTTTCGGAACAAAATGTATCCAATGACTGCATGATCAGGCAACAATTTTTGTTTCGAATTCAAAAGCGACGGAGCCGATTTTTGGATACTGTAGTTTTGGAATTTGGAAATTTTTGTGCGGATACTGAAAAAAATGGCGGCACTACCAATACCAGAAAAAAATGACTAGAAAAATTTTTTTTTCTTTAAAAACATAAATGATCCTCCCAGATCAAGTATCACTTTTCTTGGACGAAAAGTTGAGAAAAGAAGGAAAAATAAGCGAAAAACAAAAAGTCGGACATGTGACCGGAGGGAAAGATCTCCGCCAGCTGTCCTATTGTCCGTGGTGAAAAAAATAAGTTTTCCGCTCAGTTCCACCGAAAAAAGCGGCATTTTACTACCTATGTTTTTCCATCATAACTTTCGAACCAAGGGCTGGGAATTTGGTGAATTTCAATGCGTTTAGTGCAGAAAACTGAAAAAATCTTTGCTGGGAAGACGAATTCGGCGAATTTTATTCAATTATTTTGCGTTTCAGGAACAAAACTGAAGTCGTTGAAATTCGGTTAGTTCGAACTTTCTAAAAAATAGTCCTAGATAAATCTAGAAAACAAGCAATGAAGCAAATAATTTATTTTTTTGTCCTAGATACATAATTTCTATTTGAAAAGAGCCGAGAAGATCCTATCCATCAAAAAAAAAGTACCAGAAAATGTATCATAATCTCATCGGCAAAAAAAGAGCAATAAATAAAAAAATATTATTCCTCAACATTTATAAGATTCCAAAGCTCTGTTCATCTAACATCCGATTGCAGAAAAAATGAGATTTCTAATTAGTTCTGGACAAATAAACTTCGCTAAGCGATGATTAAAACTGAGAAAAAGTGCTGAAAATAAAAAAAGTAGATCTTTGTCGTAAAAATGCGAATATTCTAAGAATTCACAGAATGAGTTGTCAAATTTTGAATTAGATTATTTTCGACTTTTCAAAAGTTTTCAAAACATTTACTCGAAAAGAAAAGATGCGGCTCATGGGAATCTAGCATAAAAATTCTTTCTTTTAGGGTTCCAAGCTTTCTGTTTCTTATACAGGTTTCCAAACCCCTGACGGAACATATCAAAAAAATATAAAATACTAGCAATACTAACAATGAAAAAAGTTTCAAAACCATCCGTTTTTTCGAAAAAATTTATGAAAAACCTTGCTAGATTTTTTTCTTCCAATAAAACCGAAATCAGCCCAAAAGTAGATAAGATCTGAACTTTTTCCCATCCTTTACTGAAAAAAAGTCACAAAACTTTTGCAAAAATTGATCGTTTTAATTTAAGTTTAAACTGTCCCGAGTAAAAAAAGTTTTAGATTTCTCCATTTTTGCTCGAGAAAATTAGAAAATTTCCCGCAATTTGATCAGTCTAGTAGATCTTTTTAACAATTGTTATTGAAAAAAATCCTGATGTCACCAAATCAGAAAAAAATTCAAAAAAAGTGACCATTCCGACTTCTCATATGTACAATTAGTCAACATTTTTCGATTTATTAATGAATTTTCTTGATAAATAAAATATTGTCAAAATTCGACATTTTCAGTCCTTAATTCACCCGGGTTCAACTAGAAACTCTTAGATTTCCGATTCCAGTCAACAAAGGTCAGAAGAGCTGAATTTTGACCATTCAAGTTCTTCACTCCGCAAAAACAAAACAGATGATCCACCAATCGGATCGAAAGTGCAGAGGGAACAGCGAAGAGAAGAAAAAAAAGACCACAGGAAAATTAATGACCTCGCTGGAGGAGAAAAGACCAAGGAGCATTTTGGTCGATTATCCCATCGGCAAGAGAAAAAAGATAATTTTTTCTGCAAAACAGCAGAAAAAAGATGCTTCTACATGTTGCAGGAGAGTAATTGAGCTAGACATTTAAAAGGAGCAATCGATTATTTGATAATTTTAAAATAGATATTTTCTTTAAATAATCTTGTTGAATTAGGATTTTACTACCGTAAAAAGATTTGCAGAGCCTTTGAGAAAACAATTCCAGAAGAAGTTTCATTAGACTTCCTACAGTGCAGTTTTTTTCCCGTCGATTCTGCATCTTCAGGGAAAAAAGATGGCAAATTGTGCGCTGATATGCGGGACCAGCTTTATCAACGATCCAGTTTAGAATCTTTAAAAAATTGAACAAAAATTTTAAAATTTAGCATTTGCCAGTCATTCCTCCACGTACAGAAACTTCACAGTTTTACTGTTCAAAAAAATGTTTTTTTCAATGTTTTTTCAGTGTTTCAACCACTTGTCGACGTCCATAGTTCTCCTCGAATATTTCCAGACAAATGAAAAAAACTATTTTTCTACCCAATGAGTCAATAAAATAACGGCCTTCTACTCTTTCAGAAAAAAAAAGTTGAAAAGAATAAAATTTCAAAAAAAGTTCTGCAGTGTTTCTTCTTCACGTACAGCCACTACCTAGTCCTGTTAAATTTTAGAAAAAAAGGCGGAATAATATGAAATATCGATGAGAAATTCCTCAAGTGATAATATATACACATAGCTCCTACAGAGCTCCGTTGACTAGGTGAGAATCTTTATAAAATTGAAAATATAAATCAACATTTTATGTTTCACAGTCATTCCTTCATGTACAGCAAGTCTAAAGTTCAAAAAAACTTCGAGAAGGAAAAAAAATCCTCCTTTTTCAAACCCTCCTCCACATACAGCCCCTCCACAGTCCTGTTAAACTTCCAAAAAAGGACGCACCAATGGAAATATCAGCGGGATTCCCGTCGAAGATGACGGTTCCCGGCGAGGTTCCGCACTCGTCGTCGTCGTCGATCGTCGACATCTCGTCGTAGTCGTGATGGTCGGCCCGGAAGTCCGAAATGTCCATCGGCTCATCTTGGGAGCACGAGTTTCTCCGCGACTGCATCCCTCCTTGTAGTGAGGCTGAACATTCTTCTTTCAGTTTGTTGAGGGAAATCTTCAATTTCTTCAGCTGACCAACGGGTCCGTGTTCATTTTCCATTTCTGACTTTTCGCTTCAAATTGAAAAGTTTAATGATCTTACATCTGGGTACTACAAAGCTTTTATCCCCCCCCCCCTTCCTTATCCATTAACTGAAACCTTTGAAAAACATTTCGATACAGAAAAGTGGCAGCTTTACACAACCCGAATTTTTTTAGAGAAAGAAAAAACCGCAAGAGACTTTTTTATTAATGTGTAAATTGTCGCACACACTTCTATCATTTGAAATCACACGAACTACTAAATTGTATAAAATTATGAATTTTTCCCGTTTCTTTCTCTTTTTTTCATTTCAGCTCCAATCGCCAAAACATCAAAAAAATGTCTTTTTTTCTCTGCGCTCTCTTCTTCCTTGGCGACGCTCTGGTGTTTACGTAATATTTTCATTTTTATTTTATGAGCTATTTGGCGAGAGAAGAGAGAGTGCAGACAGGTAAGAGAGACATTTACGAGTCTCGCTTGATGTGGTCTATATAAGCTTTGCGCTACAAAAACTGGATTTTTTGTCAATTTCGGTTTTTAAAAAAAACCTAGTGAGTTATTTCGTAAATGATCGAACAAGAATGCCAAAAACGCCTTTTCAAAAATTTTGGAAATAATTTAATTTTTTTAAAAGGAAGTGTGAGCAAAAGCGAAAACTTTGGATTGGCGCCAAAAACTCCTCGCGACCGCTTTGCATGCATACTGGGCCTTTGTAGCCCGGAAAAATGAATTCTACAGAATTTTCAACAGAAACGTACCAGACGAATTGTTAACGCCGCTATTGGAAGAGGACGAAGAGCTGGGAAAGAAAACGAGTAGACCGCCACCCGATCGGCGTCTGGAAAATATCCGAAATTACAGAAAACTGGACCTGCTGGAAGGGTATATGCAACTTTCCACCTCAGAGAGGTGGTTCTGAGGCTGTATGCAATAAAGTCGAAAAAGATTTTCCGGCGTTTTCTTGAAACCCAAAAATGACTTCGATTCGTCTTTTTCACATTGAAATGTTTCCCCCATCCGAGTTTTCTTATGAAACCTTCAACAGATAAAGTCATAGTCAATCAATTCCTAGCAATTCAGACTTTCTCTTGTTTCAGAAAAATGGCGGAAAACCTTTTCCCACTGCATTGCATACGGCACCTGACTTTCAATTTTAAAGGAGGGACTGCCGGACTTCAAGTAATGATCTTCCCATGCTTGTAGAATGCCGAAAATTTCACATTATTTTCCTGGAAACCTTTGCGTAGTGCTGATCATGGCTGGATGTGCGTCCGACTGTGACCGGTTTCGGAACATTGAGGGCAGATTCCGGTTGTCGCCTACTGACCCACAGTACACCTCCGGAGGTGGTGAGCAAACTGGCGGATAGCCGAGATCTGAGTACATTTCTTTGAGGTGCCTAATTAATCTTTAAAAAAGAATGCCTAAAAAGTGCTTCATCACCGCTTGGTTAAGGCTAAAATTTTCACCAAGAATTTTCCGGCCAAAGATCCTTTTTTCTTATAGAAAACTTCCATTAAGAAAGTAAAATTACCCTTTCTCGAAAAAAAAAAATTTTCCGATATTTCTTCAGATCCCCATAACCGTTTCTCAGCGAGTGAACCAAAAATCGAAATTTCGAAAAACAACGTTTCGTTCATCTGCCAACTGCGGCTCATCACTCATTACGCAACATTAAATTCTCTCAGCGGGTCAGCGAAAAACCAAGGTTGAAGGTTCGAATTTTTACTCACTGCCCATGACAAACAAAGATCAAACTAGAGCCTTCAAACTAGAAATTAAAAAAAAATCATTTCGCTTTCATTTTTCATATCTCGGGCCTTGGTATATCTCGGGCCTTGGTAACGCGAACGGGACGCAAATCAGACGTGTCGGGGCATTTCTAGTGACCACTTTAGTAGCCTCAGCACTCTTAAGTGATTTCTAGAATCGCCCAGAAACGTCTGGAGCACGTCCGTTTCGCATTACCAATGTCCGAGATTTTTCCGTGCAATTTACTAGTTCATAATTCTCGATTTCATTGATCAGTTGTTAATATTTTCGAGAAGTTTTCATTTAAAAATGGAAGAAACGGTCGCATTTAGAATGGATCAAATCGCATAGGTTAAAACTAGATCTCTCCATAGAAAAAATTCTGTAAATCCCTGAATGCTCTCCTATTTTCGCACGCTACTACGCTAAAGCCTTTTTTCGACCTTCTGTGGTACACTGTACTGAAATTCGATTGTTAGCTCTACCGCAATCGCGCGAAAGTCGCTTCAGGTCTGGCGCATCTTAAGACTATTCCGCCTGCTTTCAAACTTCAATATACAAATTAAAAATAATAAATTATGCGCTAAATTAATTCAGTACTTCAAAAATTATTGATATACTTCAGAAATCGGTTCATAATTGTTTTCCCAGGAAGTAGGTGAGTGATTTTAATAATAAACAGTTTGGGCAAGTGCGCTCCAGTGAGCTCTCATTTATTGGAACGCTTCGAAAAAACGATAAGGGTCCAATCAGATACTAGGATCCTTAAATCGCAATCCCTGATCTTTTCGTAAGGGCTTTTTCCAGATTATGTGTATTTTAAAAAATTTTCAAAAATAACAAAACATCATGTTTGTTTTTTTCGAGAAAAATTCTTATTTTCTCTCAAATTTGCCCTTTTTCCCAGTCTGTACAGAACCAAAAAAAGAGCAGGCAAACATACGCTTACTCATCTCGTTGCCCTTTTTTATTGTTTTGTTTTGAGTTTTTTTTTTCGCTGGGGGAGCAAACAGATGGAGCAACAATTTTATTTACAATCTGTTGGTGGCGTGAAAAAAGTTTTGTAGAGAAAAAAGTAGAGTTCGAATAGAGATTTTCCGAGAATTTTTTTCAGAAGGATGAATAAAATGAATGAAATAAAAAAATAATAAGAATAACTGTTTCTTTAATTTTTAAAAAAATAAAAAAATAACTGTTTCTTGAAAAAAATACATTAAAATCTCTTTAAAAAGGCAGACGACAAAGATTTTTTTCTAAAGAAACTTTTCCTTTTTCTACAAACTTGTATTCGCTAGAGTTCTCAAAACCAAACGTTTGAAAAAAATGAAAGTTTGAAAACATGAAAAAGTTTGTTTTCAACATTTCGAACAAATTTCATTTTCAAACATTGATCGAAAACGGCCACAATCAAATCGTTCAAATTATGATCAAACGTTTTCTGGCCGAAAAACAAACGTTCGTTATTTTGACCAAACTTTTTTCAAACGAAAACGAACGTTTGGTTTTTCGACCAAACTTTTTCCGACCAATAAACGAACGTTTGTTTTTTTGATCAAACTTTTTTCAAACATTGAATGGATGTTCGTTCCGATCAAACGTTCAATTTCGAAATTTCAATCAAAGGTCGGTTTCAATAAAAGTTTGAAAAATGTTTGGTTGAACGTTCGTTCAAACGTTTGGTTTTGAGAACTCTAGTATTCGCCGAAAATATTTCTGGGTTTTTTCAAAGAATTTTAAAACTGCAACAAAAATATACTGAATTATATAAAAAATCAAATGTTTTTTTTGAACTCGAATCGAAACAGGAAAGTACCTTCATCGAGGGAAGGTTCGGCGGGGAGATTGAGGCTGGCCTGCCGGATTCGTCGTCGGATTCCGTCCATGAATCGGGTGCCGCGTGGGGAATGTTGCACTGAAGTGCTCAGGGAGCCCGATCGCGAGGTCCGAGCTCCAGGCGATAGTGTCACGTCTGTAAGTGTTCACTTGAGGCGTCAGTAAACTCAAATCGACTGACCTAAATAATTGAAGGAACAGGAACATAGAATTTTAAAAAAAAAAGGTTCGAGATCCTGGGGACAGTGTTACACCTGTGTCTTTTACAGTTCCCAGAGTACTAGATTTTGGAAAAAACATACGAAAAAAAAGCCTTTTTCTGCAATTTCTGGAACGAATTTGGGCAATAATTTTTAAAAACGGAGATTTCTTGATAAATTGGCAACACTAAAAAGCATAAGAAAAAAATCACAGAAAATGAAAAAGAGATATTTTGCAGCTAACTTCAAAACGAAAAAATATTCATGCATGTTTAAAAAATTTCAAAATCGCTACTAAACTCAAATCTACTCGAAATCGAAAAACTGTCGTTATTCTTGTTACATTTTTCTGTTCTCCAGAAGCTCTAGGAACCCAAAAAACAGTTTTTTCAACCGCGTTTGCAGAGAAATCAATCGGTTTTGTGCAACAAATTTCCGAATCGATTCTCTATACCAGCTGATGGACTTGCAACACGGAAAATCATCGTTTACAAGTAAAACAAAAAAGGAGTATTTTCGCAGTTATTTCCTGAACAAAAAAAAGTGATTTATATGTTATGAAAAGTTTCAGAATCACTTCAAAACTGCGGCCAATTGAAAATTTTAAAAATCTCATTTTTCTTGTTTCCTTCTACTGTTCACCAGAAGCTTTCGGAAAATTAAAAACAACATTTTCAAGCTAATAAATGAGCAAATTACTAGAGTTTTCAGGAATTTTTTTCCAAAGCTTTCGGTTTCTCAAGCCCTAAAAAAACTTTGCAAAGATTTTTGAAGCGAAATCAATCAGTCATTTGTGCAATAAAATTCCGAATCGATTCTCCAAATCAGCTGATAAATTGGCAACACAGAAAGCAGCGGGAAAAAGCGTACAAAGACTGCGCGAGGGTCGCCGGCGAGTCGAAAACAAAATGGTTGAGACGCGACGGAAAAAAATATTTTTTAAAGCAAACAAAAAAGAAACTGTTTCCCCTCTCCCTCTACCAATAAAATTTGATCTTCAACTTCAAAAATAGGAAAACTACAGCGAAAAATAAGAAAGAAGAGGAAAATCGGATAGAATGGACTGAAAATAGCACGTTACGGAACGTGGTAAACAGCTGGAAAAGGCTGGAAAACCACTTGTTATTGGCACGCTGCCAAGTGCTTTCCGAGTAGGAAAGAGCAAAGATTTGCTATTTCGTTTCTTTTTTCGAGCAGTTTTCAAGACATTCATGAGTTTTTGTACCGTTCTTGTTCATTAAAAGCAATATTATTGAAATTAAAAAAACAAAAATCCAATGGCTTTTTTTGTCAGTTTTACAACTTAGAACAGAAAAAACTAAAAAGTCGAAACGTTTTTTTCTATATCGATTTAAGATCACTCAGACCACTTCTTACTCTTTTTCCCAAAAACGAAAAAAAGCAATAAAATTTCGAAAAAAAGAAAAAAATTTAATTTTTATAGTTCATTTTTTTATGTGGCACCTGGATCGTTCAGAGCTTTTTCTAACTAATTTTTTTAAAAAAAAATCAAAAAAATCCGAGAAAAAGGTTTTTTTTTTTGTTAAATCTGGATAGCTTTTTTTTACCCCTTATCCACAGAAAAAGCGATTTTCAAACAAAAATATCTGAAAAAAAGAATATTCTGACCATGATGAATCCTGACGCCGCCCCCACTGGGATTCCTGGGGCCTCTGGGATGAACATCGCCGGCCTCGACATCGACGAGTCCACTGCGGGTGCCCGGCGAGTAGAGGTTGATGGGCTGCGTCTGAGGGCGGAACGAGGACATCGTCTTCCACCTGCATAATCACCTTTATTCAGTATTTTTTTTCAAGTAGAAAAATTCAAAAAGCTCGCAAAATGAAGCTGATGAAATGCTATCAAATTTATATCTTTATCGGTTTACTTTTTTTCAATATTCAAACAAAGATCTTTATCCAGTTATTTTCAAGCAAATGAATCAGGAAAAAATCACAAAAAAGCGATAGACAAAACTTTTAAATTCACGCCTTTATTCAATTCTTTCTGAGAGTTTCAAAAAAATTTTTAAGAAAGAAAAACAATAAAATAACTTATTTTAAAAAAAGATGCTACAAATATACTAATTGCGATGCGACATAATCGATCTAAAAACAGAAAATAGAACAAAAAAGCGATAGACAAAACTTTTGAATTTACGCCTTTATTCAATTTTTTCCGAGTGTTTCAAAAATGTTTTAAGTAAGGAAACATATTCGCTCAAAAAAAAAACAAAAAAAAAATGGTTTTTTCAGGGTTTTGCCCTTTTTCTAAGGGCCAGACATAAACAAGCATTATGAATCGCGATTCTATTCTCACAGAAATAACAAAAAAAAACTAATATCAAAACGCTTTTCATAAATAAATCAGAAAAAAGAGAAAACTGTTAGATTTTTTTGGTGTTGAATTGAAAAAGTGAAAAAAATGATGCGAACGTACTCACCCAAAAAAACTGTCTATAAACAAAAAAGTTCGAAAATTTCGTTCCAAATCTTTTCGAACCACAAACGATTTATGTTTCATATTCAATTTATTTCTGTTCAAATTTCCTTTCGCTAAACATTAAATTTGCAAAACACTAGATAAAATCACAGAAACAATTCAAAATTTAAAAGGAAATTGAAAAAGTCTTTTTTTCTGCATAAAACTGAACTTATCGTTTCTACAACTCCCATTGAGATGAACTAGTAGATAATAACGAATTGGAAATAAAAACTTTCACTTTTCCATCTCAACGTCTTGAATTCAAAAAAGTTCAAGCCTCTTTTTTTAAGTCTCAAAATTTTTTCAATCACAAAAATAAATGATAACAGTCCAAAGTATATGAGGAAATCATATAAAAAGCAAATTTCCACGACTTCCGCATTTAAATCAGTTCGACTGCCTCGAAACTGAAGTCTCTGCAAATATTTATAAAAGTTGCAGAAATAATTATTTTTCCCTCGATGAGGCGATAATCTGAACAAACTTAACACGGTGGCGCCATGTGACTCGGATTTTAATGAATTCGAAATACGAAAACCAATCCTTATCGCTTTGAAAAAAGAGCAACACAAAAATAGAAACGTCAAAAAAAAAAAATGAAATGAAAGTTTCACACTAAGAATAACTGACGAGATAAACGCGAGCTCGGTGGCGGTACATTGACTAACTCGCAAAAATGTCGCTTTTTTCTAGGCGCGATCCCGCATTTCTCTCGGCGCGACCTCGCATTTTTCTCGGCGCCATCTCGCATTTATCTTGCATTTCGGAAATTTTCAAATAGCGAGAGAAATGCGAGCTCGCGCCTAGAAAAGTGCGAGCTGGCGCCCAGAAAAATGCGAGACCGGCGCGAGAAAAAATGCGAGATGTTTGCGAGCTCGTCAATGTACCGCCAGTGTCTCGCGTTTATCTCGGCAGTTATTCTTAGTGCACGTAAAAGCACTCCTACAGTAAGCCTTTGGCTCTCGGCGGCGCGCACTTTCCTTTAGATGATAATTCAATTTTTTCTCGCACAAAATTTTCAGGAAAAAGACCGAAAATCAGCGTTTCCGGTCAACAACAACGACGCAATTAGTAATTGGAGCATCAAAAATGGCTGCGAGAGAGAGAACAATCGAATAACAGGGGTCAGTTTTCTGTTTCTGTTGTTTTTTAGGGAAAAGTTCGCTTGAATCAAAAAGAAAACGAACTCGTTCAGTTTCAGGCAGATTTTCGAATTTTCAACTTTGATTGAATAAATTTCTTAAAGCTTCGATTTTTCAGGGCTATTACAAGCGACTTGAAGTATTTTTTGTAACTTTACACGCCCTTTTTCAAGACTATTTCAAGCGAAGTTTTTTTTTTCAAGTGATTTTTGAAGATTGTTTGGAAAAAAACCTTAAATTTTTTTAGTCTTTTTTTGGAAAAATAACTAAAAAAATTCTTGCTGATTTTGCAGACGCACAAGTCCAAAAAGACGTTGAGAAATGTTGAGCAGATTTGAAAATTCTCGGAATTTTGAAATTTTAGAAAGATCTTAAGGAGTCTTCGCTAGTTTTTTTTGAAGCCATTTTCGAGTTTCAAAAAAGAATAATAAAATTTTTGCACATATATCAGTGTTAAATCTTTGAAAAAATACACTTTGGCGCTCCAAAACCAATAAGAAATCTGACAAGGAGACAGATCAATATTCACAGTGCGGCGAGGTTGAATTGGCAATGAGCCAAAGGCACCATTTTTGGCGCCAATCTCTTGAATCATACATTATATCGGGAGGAATTTCGATTTCTGAAGCTTAAAAAATTAGAGAGAAAATGTGAAGTTGTTCCAAGCGATCTCATTTCTTTTTTATGCAAGCAATTTTAAAAAAGGAGTCATAAAAAGAGAGAAAGATGAATTCGGACTCAAATCAAGAGCATATAAACCAAAGTTTTATCTGTTCCAGACATCTTTTTGTGCACTTGAGTGCATTTTATTAAAGTTACAATGGGAAATTTCGAAATCCGGCTATTTTTGAAGGGAGAATCAAAGAAAGTGCAGATCTAAAAAAAAATTTTGTACTATCAAACCTTTTCTAATTCTAAATTTATCGTTCGACATTCCATCAACAGATTTTTAGATGGGAAAACAGATAAAAGAACATTTATCCTCAGAAAATGCTTTTTTATCTTATTTTTTTGTACTTTCCAAGCTTTTCTCAATACATATTTATCGTTTCAAGTTTTATCGAACGTTTTTTTCAGAAGTTGAAAAAAATTTGAAAGTCTATTATTTATAGTTTTAGTGTAATTTTTTTGCCTTAGAGTCCTTTAAAAAAATTTTACTCGAAATGATTTTTTTCTCTACTTTTTTTCAATCCGTTTCAAGCTAAACAATCATTTAAAAACCCATTATCAGTTATTTTAGATCAGAAAAAATATTTTCTTCACCTAAATCCGAGAATAATTGTCGAGCCAGTACTCGAACGGCAAATATTTTGTCTCTTTGCGCAAAATGTCGCGTTCTTTCAAGCTCCTTCTGACAATATTGAGAGGAAATCTTTCATTTCTGTGGATTTATCCAAAATAAAATGACAGAAAAAGGTACATTATGAAGAAAATTGAGATCGAAAATCATTAAAAACCACTGTAATAATGGGAAAACAAAATAAAATCAGTTCAAGATTGAGTCTAGGCTCGGTACATTCGATTCAAGATTGAGTTTAGGCTCGGTACATTCGATCCATTATGGAAGTTTGAAAAATGTTAAATCCAATTTTCGAAACTGCAGTGTGTGAAAAGAAGTAATTTTCTTTTTTTCCAACTTTAAATTTCTGAAAAAGCTTCCGCGTTTTTTTAGACATTTTCACACTTATAAATTCAAAAAAATTTTTTTAAATTTTTTTCACAAAAAAATACATTGAAGCCCTCTCTTTTTCAACACTATTTCGCTAAATATAACGATTATTTTTTATTTCTTAACTTTGAATCTTTTGTTGTCAAAAAATCGCTTGAGAATCAGTTTGTTTCTCAAAAAATCGGAATCTTCGAAAAATTTTTTTTTAAAGCTTAAAACTTTTTCCACAAAACTGAACTACAAAATATTCCTAACTGAGCTCCGAATAGAAATAAATAGACTGTTTCTCGAAAACTTCCCTGTGTGTACGCATTAAAGGTTCAAAAACCAACGAAAACATGACGGCTAACGAGGAAAAAAAAAGAGGAAAAAGACAAATTTCTCTCCAAATATTGTTCTTTTTTCAGAGAAAAAAAGTTTTCCTCACTTTTTCCTGCAAGACTCTGGTTAGAGACGCAGCGAAGGCCGTTCCAGGGAATTTTCTTCCGCCTTTTTTTCGACTTTTGGCCCAAAATTGTTGAAAAAAGGCCTAAAAAAGTTTTTCCAATATCAAGTCAGGTTCTCTGAGATCTCCTTCTAGCTTGAAATTATTCCTACTTCTAACTAGAACCATACAATATTTTTATATACTAGAGGAAAGTTTTTTTCGACTTTTAGGCTGAAAAAAATTCATAATTAAATTTTTTTCGCTCATAAACTTACAGGTGTCTATCCTTTATGGCTTGAAAATATTTCCTCTTCCAATAAGAATAATACAAAAATCTTTATCAAACTAGAGAAAAGTTTAAAAGAAAAGCCACAACACAGAAACAGGTGATAAATGTTCCCATCCAAAAATACGCTTTCAAGTGCATTTCCTGTACTTATCTTATCTCGGCCTTGAAAGCTTTTTTCTTTAGATTTTTTTTAAATGTAGAAAGAATCTTTTTCTCGAGGTTTTTATTGAGCCTTCAGAACACACAAAAAAAGCTGGAAAGTTTCGAAATCTCTTCACAATCAGTAAAAGAAAAATTTGAAAGGCCTTACACAAAAAAGAACTTCAAAAAACCCTTGGAAAGGTCTCGTGAGCTCTATAAACTACTGTAACATGATGAGAGGGATTATTTCTTTGAAAAATATAAAAAAACCCTGGAAAAGTTGAAGTTTTCGTGAGCTTGCAAATAGATATTCACGGAAAAAAAGTTCTCCTAAAAACTTTTTTTCACTATTTTTAAAGATAAAAAAAGCCCTAACCAGACTTACTATACTTTATTTTTTTGCTATTCGATTTCATTTGGTGATTTTTTGTGTTTTGATCTAATAAGTAGAAAATTTTCTTCGGATGGCCTTTTTAGAAGTTCTTTTTGTGAAATTACTGTTCTAAAAAAAGTTAAAAAAATTCCCGGCCACAGAAAAAAAGTTTAAAAAGTAGCAAAACGTTTTTTTTAGGTCATAAAAGTTTCTTGGAACTACTAATGATTTGATGCCGAAAAAAAT